ACAAATAATAAATACTCACCTAGAAATAGTTCTCTGATGGTTGATCAAAAGCCCTGCCCTCTACTGTATAAACATAGCAAGACTTTCTAACTCTCTGTGTATATATTACTGTCATCATTATTATCTCCAGGTAAAATAGAACAGCCCAAAAATGATGACTACAACTGCCCACATTAATTCTAACAGGAGGAAAAAAGCAGCATACTTTTTAAGTGGCTCTACAATCACATATTGTTGTTAGATTAATTTCCTGAAAACTTAATGTTAGATAGAGTGTAATTGCAGATTTCCTTAAGAACCATTGACAGACACTTATCCTAAGTTATAAGCAACTCACACTGTGAAATGTGTGCAAACATTCTAAGTTTTCTTCCAGAAAAATATACTTCAATGAAACTAAGAATTCATCAGTCTTTTTTAATAAACAAAGCTCAAAGTAGAAGTTGAAGGAACTTTCTTTTGTTGCTACTTGATTTTAAAAGAGATTAATGTTGCAGGAACTTTATTGGTTTTCAGGGAATGAAATAAGTCTTTGATAAGTCTCATCCTAGAAACCTTACAACCTTGGGCTAAGGGTGCTACATTTTGAATGAAATAGTAAAAAAAAAAATAGTAAATTATGGTGTATTTAGGTTTTGGCATTGTATGATGGAGAGGGGAGGTTTTTTTTTTTTTTTAATTGTTAGGTGGTCTATTTAGTGCAGCTGTGTTTATGTTTCCTAAATGGTAACTGCCTGAATATGGTGGCAAATCCCTACATATGAAAATTGGGATTGCTTTCTAAAAATCATCTTGCCAATGTGCTTTAATATGGAGGGTTATATTTATCAAGTAGCAATGGAAAAAATAATTCTTGGTTCAATCATTCAATACAGCTGGTTGCTACATTAGACATTTTGACAGCCTTATAAAAATAATTAATTGATACTTAAAAATAAATAATTTCACAGTGGAATAAATTTGAAAATGGTAAACATTTTTTAGAATAGCCACATTTCTTTAACCAATTTTTTGTCTGATTCAACTTCTTAGTTATTAAAAAATGCATGCTTAGATCATGAACATAGATTGGTCCTGAAGCGAATTAACAGTCCTATTTTTTTGCTGTCTTTCTCTTTTAAAAAGTGAATTTGGGGTCATGGCTGTAATAAAGAAGAGACAGTTGCCTATGACAGAGAAAATGTATATAATAAATAAATAGCTGTGTGAATCAGTCAGTATTTTCAGAATCACATGCAGTTTGTGAAATATTTAGGTGCAGGGACTTAATGACTAGTTTTTGGAGGCACTTTCTTTAGTGTTACATCCCTCATAACTCAAATTAGTGTTTATTACTATTCTATCCTATTGCCAAAATATTTTCATGAATTTGGATTAGAAGCAGCTTGTTCTGGCTTGTTTTGCAACTTTGTTTCAAAAAAACAAAGTGATATTTAGAAGATTTTTGTATGTCTTGGAAGCCTTAATTATCTTACTTATGTTGAAGGAGGAAATAAAAGATCAAGTTTTGTTTCATAGTTATATAAGAAAATAAGGTTTCATACTATGCTCACTTTATATTCATATAGTTAATAAAATAATGTCTTTCAGGAAATTTAAATCCATGATTCTTGTATTAGCTATTAGGTAACTAGCAATCTATAATCTACTTTAAATTCAAGAGGACACTACTTGCTGGTCAAGAACCATTTGGGCTACTACCATTTATGGTGGTGTTCGTCCTTATCTTTCCTTTTTCCTCTCCTTCTATTCCCAGATTGGTGAAAGACAGCAAGTGTTAGTAACAGAAGAATCTTTCGATTCCAAGTTTTACGTGGCACACAATCGATTCTATGAACAGGTAAGAGACACTTCTGTGTTATTAAGTTTTCTCCACAATGAAAAAGAGTTCTGAAAGCAAGTCAGTTTAAGCAAAAGAGACTGAAAAAGAAGGAGGGTTGTAGAATCTTGCTTCAGCAAGTCTATTTTATAGCCTCAAACCAGGCAGGCACACATGGGGCTTATCTTTTGTGGCTTGGTCTACAAAACAATGTCTGTAAAGGAATAAGTGTGTTTTAGTCCTCATTAATCTTTGACAGCGCCAGTCTTAGGCTTTTGAGAGTTTGGAAAAGGCAGTTATCACTGCCAGAATTCCCACAGCCTGGCAAAGTAGAGGGGAAAGTCCTGTTCAGAGACAGGAAGGATGTCTGCATGGGCGACATCAGCATGGAAGGGCAGGGATTTCCTCCTACTGTCACAGCACTAATACAGGTTTGTTGGTCGGTTGGTCGGCTTTTTTAGTTCTGTTTAGTTTTAATAATTTTTTTTAACTTCCACCTTGATAAAAATGCCAGGAGCAGAGGGAAAAGAGTCTTTTCCTTGGATTTAACTCATATTGCATGAACAAGGCTGGAGAGCAGTGTGAGGATCAAACCAACTTCACTTGGATAGAGTTTTCTCTGAGGCCAGCCCAAAGGGCTCCTTACTTACTCTCCTTCTTTCC